AAAACAGAAAAAAATACCTAATTCCTCCAGGCTTATTTTCCATTTCCATACAGTTCTCATTCCCCTCTGGCCCAAAAGTCTCATCGCTGAATTTACCTAGTTTCCCAAACTAGTTGTGGCTGTTTTTGCTTCTCTGCTTTCGTACCATCTTCTGCCTAGAATGTTTCTCTCTCCCATCCTGTCCTGACAGCTCTTCTTTAGACTTGACTCAGGTGACACCTTCGCTGTCAAGCTTTTTTTAAAGAAGTTTTGCTTCCTGCTAAGCTCCCTTAGCCCTTCGTTAATTCACCTGTTATTGACATTAACCATCTTGTGTTGTATTCAATAGTCAATAGAATCAAATACCAGTTTGATTCTGCATTTTGCTTTGAAGAAGTCCTCAATCTTTTATGTAGCCACAGTGGCCAGGCATGCAGAAGACACTCAATAATGTTGAATGAACTAATGCATTCAGGGATAGGGTTACAGATATTGAATGAACTAATGCATTCAGGGATGGGGTTACAGAAATGGATACAAGAGAAAAGGGTGTGGTTGAATTGGCTGTACCCAGCACACAGGTGTGCAACTTGCTCACTTACTGTAGTATTCTTAGGTGTGGAGGAGTCCAACACCTATAAATGCTCCTGAAAATAACCAGGGATGACTTTGTGGAAGTTCACTGAATCCTTAAAATTGAACTTAAGGAGAAGAGATGGTGGGAATTGAAAATGATTGCATCCAGCCAGGGCAGCATAGTGAGACTCTGTCTATACAGAAAAACCAAAACCAAAACCAAAAAAGAACAGCCAAGTGTGACGGTATACACCTTTAGTCCTAGCTACTCAGGAGGCTGAGGTAGGAGGATCGTTTGAGCCCGGGACGTGAGGACTGCAGTGAGCTGTGCTTGCGTGACTATGCTCCAGCTTGTGCAACAGAGCAAGTTGTCTGTGAAGGAGAGAAGGACCCAGAGAAAGTCAACAAGTGTTGATGCTACAGTCACTCTGTGTCCTTTGGGCCAGCAGAATGTGAATGCTTCGGGGTAGATTCATAGGGAATTTTAGGTCCTAATTTTTTAATTTTTATTTTTTTAAGACAGGTTCTTACTTTATCACCCAGGCAGGAGTGCAGTGGTGCCATCTCAGCTCACTGCAGCCTCGAATTTCTGGGCTCAAGCTATCCTCCCTCCTCAGCCCTCCAAGTAGCTGGGACTACAGGTGCATGCCACCATGCCCATCTAATTTCTTGCATTTGTTGTCAGGGTTGGGTTTCTCCATGTTGCCCAGGTTGGTGTCAAACTCCTGAGCTCAAGCGATCTGTCCTTTTTGGCTTCCCAAAGTGGTGGGATTACAGGCATGAGCCACCGTGCCTGACCTTAGGTCCTAAATCTTTAACTCCTAAGATATATAGACCACCAGAAAATGGAAACAATTACACAATGTTAAGATTATCACCAGCAATATCCCAAAACTCAGATATAAGGATGAGATCATTCCTAGTATCACAGAGAAGGGAGAAAGCCTCTGAGAGAATGGTAAGAGAATTGGACTTCCATATAATGACACTCCTTACTCCAGTCTGCCTGGCACCAGGCAAATGGAAAATTTCTCCCAGACTTATGGTTTCTCTAATGCGAAAAGTGAGAATGAAGTAGACAACCAACTTTCTTATCATCTTGGGTTCTGTGGCAGGAGATCTGTTCTTGCCTCAATCCACAGGAAGCATCGGCAGTGCTAAAGGGAGAAATATCCCTGAGGACAGCCAGAGACAAAGCTGGGAGGTAGGACTACCATCCCCAGCCCTGGAAACTCTGTTCTGTACCTTAAGACACCAAATCAGAGTTGCTGTTTGGCAGTACCCTGCCATAGGGCACTCATCCCACAGGTGCCTTAGGCATGAACCCCTAGCTAGCATTCCCGCACTGTGGGAATAATCCCTTTAGGACTTCCCCCATTTTGGATGGGCAGCAATCAGATTACCAGAACGGAGGCAAACTTGGGCTTAGGCTGACATCTAGTGCTGGAAATGAGCCAGTGACTTGGTGAAAAAGAAAAAATCTACACGTAAATTATAAAGACTCAAAGCAGACACATCCAATAAAAACCAAAGCCAGCCAGCCAGAGAAGACTGGAGTAAATAATCCTTCAACACAAAGACATAGACATATATTCAGAAGAAACAATAGCAAACAGAGGAACACGACCTCTTCAAAAGGACAAAGCAAGAAAGTAGTGACTAACCAAAGAAGGCAATATTAGGAACCCTCTGACCAAGAGTTCAAAATAGCAGTTTTAGAACTCAGTGATCTCCAAGATAACACACACACACAAAAAAGATTCAGAAATTTATCAGAGAAGATTAACAAAAAGATTGAGATTAAAAAAACAAATTTCGGAATTAAATACATTTGCTGGACTAAAAAACTTACTAGAGGTTCTCAACAGCAGATCAAAGAAAGAAAGAATCACTAACTCAGACAGGTTATTTGAAAATGTACAGAGGAGACAAAAGGGAAAATAATGAAGGGGAACAAAGATATAGAAAATTACCTCAAGAGATCAAATTTAAGAATTATTGAGTTTGTGACCAGCCTGAGCAATAGAGTGAGACCCTGTATGTAAAAATAAAATATAGGCTGGGTGCGGTGGCTCACGCCTGTAATCCCAGCACTTTGGGAGGCCGAGGCGGGTGGATCATGAGGTCAAGAGATCAAGACCATCCTGGTCAACATAGTGAAACCCCGTCTCTACTAAAAATA